AATAGGTCACTTGAGCAAAGCTCAGGTGACCTAAAAAGATAAAAATGAATTGACAATTTTTTCAATGATAAAGCCAACTATCATACTGGATCTTTCGAAGAAGTTGTTTTAAGTATTTAACATATTCTATGATCTTGAAATCCAGTCAACTTAATTTATTTGAATCAACTTGATACAGCTATCCTTTATCCCATTGAAGCCAAATAATGTCACTTGACATTATCAACATATGGAAAAACTCATTTTCATTTCTTAATGTTTTGAACGCTGTGACCTTGAAAAGAGAATCACAGTCATTTATTTGAAAAACATTATACCCCATAACATCAGCCTAGGTCTCTTAGTAATTCAGATGCCGAGACAATAAGATTACACAAGCTGAAACAAGAAAATGTCTCTAAAACATGAATATCACCCACTCCCATGCAAAAAATATCTTTATTTTGACATATTTCTGCTCATACTTAACATTGTATGAAGTTGATCAAAAGCAAATGAAGCTGCTAGAGTGAGGAGACTGAATGGGGAGGGGAGAGGACGCAACATGAGGGGATTGGATAGACATGGGTAACACGAATCCCCCCTTATAATACATAGGGAATAAATCTGGGGCTTCTTGAGGTTTACACTAATGTCATCATGATTGAACACGTCTGGATTGGTTCCTGAATTACCTCCCCTGTTTGTTGTCGCCGAGGACACCATCTTCTTAGTTCTTACCTTTTTGGTCCACTTGCGTACCCCTTTATCACTGACTTGAGTCTGGTCCTTATTGTTAGGTGCCGACACTGCGGTCACTATGGACCGGTTCTCCAAGAGGAAAGGATACATCTTTGGAGTAATAAACCCGGTCTTTAAGATGTCCAGTCCATCCTCGCCATAGTAAAACTAATAAAAAAACAACAACTTTTATACCAAATTTATATTGAAATCTAAATAACAGTTATTGAGAAGAAATTCAGTACTGTAAGTCAGAGGATACCTGAGGTCATGGTGGCCAAGGATTATTGGTATGACCGAGAAAATAACTACAGGTACATTTTTTAAGAACCATGAGACTGAAAATTTTATCAATTTAAAAAATCAAAGTTGTCTGCACCCTTCTCTAAATTGTGCCAACCCCCCCCCCCCCATTTTCTCTAGACAGGACCAAAAAAAAGCACTAATTATAATCTGCACGGTCAAGTAGTTGTTACACTAGGTTGATTGAACATACATGAGACCCACTAGGCCTGCATCACTCATATGCTTCCATCCGACCTGACAGGAAAATGAATCTATTTCCACTATTTTTATTGTGATAAACATAGAATTTTGACAGTGTAATTAAAGGAATGCCTAAGTACCAGTCTTTACTACATTTGACTGTGTGACCTTGAATGTGGGTCAAGGTCATATGTTTCGACTGCCTGGTTCTGACCACTAAAAGATAATAAATGGTCCCGCAGACTGTATGATACTATCTTGGCCTAAATATGACGAGAGTTTTCCTGGGAAATTGACAAGGTATTACATGCATTGTCATGCCAACTGCACCATTTTACCTGATACTAATCACAGTGAGACATATCTACTTCTTTTTCATAAAGCCTACGATACCTTACGAACATGCAGTCCTAGTGACTATAATCTAATTACCTGGACCACACTGCCATCACTGTCTCTGACTGTCAGGTCGTAGTTAACGTACACCCCTTCCAGGTGTTTAATTAGACATCTCTGTAGGTATCCACTGCGACTTGTTTTGACAGCTGTGTCGATGAGACCCTGAAAAATTTGAAGATTGCCCAACCTCAAGTTCCTAAATATTTATCTAACATCTTCATTCCATTTCTTTTTTAACTGAACATCAATAGTTCATTTCTAATCCCAACATACCCAGTCTCTGGCACATATACACACATACACTACACACATGGAGGCAGGTCTTTAAATGACCTTAGCTGTTAATAGGTTGTTAAACAAAATCAAACCAATCCCATCAATATCTTGCTAATTGGTTACATACAGACCCAACATATTCTGGAATGTTTAAGGAAGTTTTCTCTTTGCTGCGGGTGCTCTGCACTGGGGCCGTTACATATCAAGTCAACAAATTGTTTCCACAAATGTTCCAGAAAGTTTTTGGTTCTCGACATACTATTTAATTGCTGTTCTTGAAGTAAGTTCAAAATGAGATTAACCAAGGATTCAATTTTTTAAAATGATACATTTCAGAATCTTTGTCCTGAAATTGTTAAGTTTTCTTACTTAGCTATAAGACATTGAATAATAAATGACAATCTGAGGATGTAGCCTGAAGTACTGTAATAATTAAACTGAATTACAATGATACTTTATTGTCAAGTTTAATAACAAGTTGGGGACACAAATGAATAGCTGTCATCCTATTTAAGATCATAACTGATATCCTGCTAAGTCAAAGGAGACAAACCTCTCGTCCAGCCATACAATGGAAGAAGTACTCCTGAGGTCGGATCCCTGTGAGAAAACGTCCCGACACGAACCCTCCAGCACGAGGCGATGTGTCATAGGCCATGAATGAGGGCAGTGTTTTCCCACTCAGCATCGGTCTGGGGCGACGTCCTTCTAACTCTATCTGACCAAGCAGACAGGATATCTGCATGCAGTTCACCTGTAGTAGAAAATGTGTGGGTTTACAGGGGATCCAATCACAGACAGATGTTAGCTACAGACAGGTGGTAGATATAGACAGATGTTAGTTACAGACAGGTGGTAGATATAGACATGTTAGCTACAGACAGGTGGTAGATATAGACAGGTAGTAAATACAGTCAGGTGGTGGTAATAGACAGGAAGTAAATACAGGCAGGTGGGGGTAATAGACAGGGAGTAAATACAGGCAGGGGGGAGATATAGACAGATGTTAGCTAAAGACAGGTGTTAGATATAGACAGGTAGTAAATACAGTCAGGTGGTGGTAATAGACAGGCAGTAAATACAGGCAGGTGGTAGTAATAGACAGGTAGTAAATACAGGCTGGTGGTAGATATAGACAGAGGTTAGCTAAAGACAGGTGGGAGATATAGACAGGTAGTAAATACAGTCAGGTGGTGGTAATAGACAAGCAGTAGTTAAAGACAGGTGGTAGATATAAACAGGTAGTTAATACAGGCAGGTGGTGGTAATAGACAAGCAGTAGTTAAAGACAGGTGGAAGAGATAGACAGGTAGTAGTTATAAAAAGGTGGTGGCTATTGGATGTTGGTAGTTATAACATTATAGACAGGTATATGCTCTAGACAGGTGGTAGTTATAGACAGGTATATGCTCTATACAGGTGGTAGTTAAGAGACAGTAGCTATTGACAGGTGCTACATATAGACAGGTAGTAGAGATAAACATGGTAGTTATAATAACCAGGTAGAAGTTATAGACAGGTGGTAGTTATGGACAGGTGGAAGTTATAGACAGGTGGTAGTTATAGATATGTGGTACATAGCAACAGGTGGTAGTTATAGACAGGTGGTAGTTATAGATATGTGGTAGTTAAAGACAGGTGGCAGATATAGACAGGTGGTAGTTATAGATATGTGGTAGATAGAGACAGGTGGTAGTTATAGGCAGGTGGTAGTTATAGAAAGGAGGTAGTTATAGACATGTGGTGGTTATAGACAGGAGGGAGCTATAGATATGTGGTAGTAAAAGCCAGGTGGCAGATATAAACAGGTGGTAGTTATAGACATGTGGTGGATATTGACAGGTGGTATTTATAGACAGGGGGTAGTTATAGATATGGGGTAGTTATAGACATGTGGTAGATAGAGACTGATGTTAGTCACAGATAGGTGGTACCGATAGACATGTTATCTACAGACTGGTGGTAGATATTGACAGGTGGTAGTTATAGGCAGGTGGTAGTTATAGAAATGTGGTAGATAGAGAGAGGTGGTAGTTATAGAAATGTGTTTGTTTTAGATATGTGGTACATAGCAACAGGTGTAGTTATAGACAGGAAGTAGTTATAGATATGAGGTAGATAGAGACAGGTTGTAGTTATAGATATGGGGTAGATAGAGACAGGTTGTAGTTATAGATATGAGGTAGTTATAGATATGGGGTACATAGCAACAGGTGTAGTTATAGACAGGCGGTAGTTATAGATATTTGGTAGATATTGACAGGTGGTAGATAGAGAGAGGTGGTAGTTATAGAAAGGAGGTAGTTATAGATCTGTGGTGGTTATAGATATGTGGAAGATAGAGACGGGTGGGAGTTATTGATATGTGGTAGATATAGACAGGTGGTAGTTAGAGATATGTGGTAGTTATAGACAGGTGGTAGTTATAGACAGGAGGTAGTTATAGATCTGTGGTAGTTATAGACAGGAGGTATCTAAGGCAGAATTCTATACTTACAGAGGATCCTTTAGCTCCTGACTGAACCATCAGTTGTAGATTATTCTGAGGAAACAGTTTTTCTAATCCTTTTGGCATACAGGCCCTGTAATAGACAGAATGTATCTTACAATCAGTTGCACATAAACAGCTTATAAAAAATCTGTGAAATATTTAAAACTTGTTCATTATAATCTGACCAAATATTAGTTCGAATTATTCTGACGTTTTATCGACTTTTTTATATCGGTCTGTCGTCGATTATCGTCAGAACTCCGGCCCTCTATAATATGCGGAAAATTAGCGACCTGCACCCGGGTCGCACTTCAAACTGATATTTTAGAAACAAATCGTCACCCTCACACACATGTCGCATGTACCTTCAGTATTAATGGATAAAAAGCACCCTTATTTAGCAATGATATAGACAGTCTGAATAGGCTTTGTGTGCTTTGTTCCTCCCCCTTCACACCAGAGTTAACATCTAGTAAGTATCTAGATGGTTATACATACTTTACGATGGCATTCTGAGTATTATCAGTCCTGGTCTTGGTGCTCTGGTCCAGCATCTGCAACTCCACATCATCTGGACTGAAGTGGGCCTTCTTCAAGGCCTTCAACATGGCTTTCGCATCAGTCTCACTATCCAAGGTCAAAGCCTCTTTCGCCGAGTCATCCCCAAATTGTGTAGACTCTACAATAGCTTGTTGCCTCTTCTTGTCTGCCTGTAATGTTACACGGATGTGTTTAAACATCACACAGCCTTACCCCTCTGATACAGTTTAAACAAGGAAGATCTTTTTGAAAATTTAATTTTATACTGTAATGCTGCTAGATTTACATAACATTTCTTTTTGATCTAAACAGTGTAAAGGTGACAATGTAAATGAGCAAAAGAACCAAAAACCTGCCAATGACATGATGATGATGATGATGATGATGACATCTTAGATATTGTGCAGAAACCAATTTTCCGTCTTACAGTGACAATGACCTTGGCCGTTATTCAACTAGGGACATGAAGAGAAACCCACAGAATCCCCTTTGGTGAGGAATCGAAGCCGTGTCTGAAATGTGAGTTTGATCAGCTCCAAGGACGTTTAATTTTAGTGCAGAAACCAATTCCCTTTGTGATAAGAAATATCAGGCAAGTCCTTCCGTAAGGAATCAGTATCTTGTGTTGGGATGTTATATGTATCACCTGGAACCTGAGTTATTGTGCAGGAACAAATCTTAATTTAGAGAAACAGTGACTTTGACTTTTTACCTTGGACATCAAAAGAAAAAACCCAAGCAAGCCCCTTTAGTCAGAAAGCAGGGTATGAAGTTCAATAAGCCTAAAATATAAGCCTCTATTCCCCTAACAGCCCTGCTTCTCTGTCCCAAGGGTGTCCTTGGGGAAAACAGCACTTTACACAATATCCAGTCCCTGTGAGAATGTGAAGCTTCAAACCTAACTTAGTTAAATACCTGATCACATACTTAAGTAATAACATTTTAAAGATGAACCTCTAGTTCCTCTTTTGGACTTTAAGAGAGTCATATTTGAGCTCCAAGGGGCCCATATTTGAGCCTTTTTGACCCCCTTTATTCATACAACATTGTGTCCCTTTGGCTCATTGATGCTCTTTAGATCAAAGGTTGAAATCCTTCACCTTTTCATTGTGACCTCTTTACCCGGTGAGCCTGCCAATCAAATTTGTTTCAAATCTCTTCACCCTAGCTTACTGAAGGTGCAAAAGTGACTTACCGGTGTTGTGACCAGGATATCCTCCACGCCAAGTGTGAAACCTCGGATCATCTGCAGGAAGTTGGTGAACAAACGCCCGAAATAGGTCAACAACCTACCAGCTATTTCCCCACCGTACAACTGTAACGTAAGTGTAGAAATTATAACAGTTGTCAGACAACTTATCATACCAAGACAGATTAGAACAGTGATCACAAGTATAATCCATTATGAAACTGTCAAATAAAAATATGGACTTGCAGGCAACAAGCCTAAAAATTATATTTTAAAATACTTTCAATGTGAGAATTTAAAAGTTTGCATAACCCTAAGATTATGAAAAGACTGAACATTTTCATCTCTGAACTGCCTACATTTTGTAACTTTTATAAATGTCATGGATTGACATGGAGATTATTACTAGCTATATATAGGAGTCTGTTAATAAGAGCTCCTGTTTGAGTACATGTAAATGACAGTGCTGCCATGTATATTACAGCAATGCTAGATTTATACAATAGGCCCAGAGGGCCTGTATCGCTCACCTGGATAATAAAGTAACAATGGGAAATTATTCTTATTACATAAAATCCCTCCAAGGAATGGTGCAGAAGAGGAAAGATTTTAAAGATTTAAACCTCTAATTTCCCTATTGGGCCCTGCAACTCTCAGCCCCCAGGGGGTCCTAACCCATCGTTTATACAAAATTTAGTCCCCTTTGCCTAAGGATGCTCCAGGTTAAATTGAGATAAAATCCCTTAATTCCTATGGTAGAAGAAGCATTTCAAAGGTTTTACCTCTATTTTTCTTATTGGGCCCCACCTCTATGTTCCCAGGGGGGCACACCCACCGTTTATACAACAATGAGTCCCCTTGAACAACTATACTCCAGACCAAATTGGGATGAAATCCCTTAATCCTTTTGGTAGGAGAAGGATTTTAAAGATTTACCTATATTTCCTCTATTCAGCCCCACCTCTCTGCCCCAAGGGAGGCCACACCCACCGTTTTATACAAAATTGTATCCCCTTGGTCTAAGGATGCTCCAGACCAAATTTAGTCCAAATCTACTGGGCGGTTCAGGAAAAGTAGCGTTTTAAAGGAAAAGCTGCCCTCTGGGCAGGTGAGCAGATAATGAAAGCTCAATTCCACACATACTAAATATGACATAAATTTTCTCAGAGAACAATTTCCAAAGCATATTATCCAATTATAATTCCCAATATTATATTACTCATGTTCCAATCTAGACAATGAGAGTATCCTCTTTACTGGCAGTAACGTCAGTACATCCCTAGACTCCCCCCCCCCCCCCCCCCCTCCCTCTATATACTGTGTCCCAGAATAGTCTCTCTGTACACAAGTGACTATATTTACCTCATAAGAGCAGTGTATAAGTCCATAACAGGTGGGCCCGTAATGACCCTTGTCCAGTACACCACAAAGGAGCTCTCCACCACGAATTATCACCCAACTCTCCCCCATCTCCTCCATGACCTCCTTTGGTAGATCCGCCATAGGGTCAGAGGTCACCCAACTCTGTGTTGTCCAGAATGCAATGCCACAATATTAAACTATTGAACAGGTTTTATCTTCATGACACGACCAAACAATTTCAATGAATTTTGTTATTCAGAAGTGATCATGTTTTTTATAACGACCTAAAAGAGATAAAATGGATGTCAAACAGGATCATTTACTTATCATTTTAAAATCAATGAATAGATCATACACTAACCTTCTCCGTAATCTTGGATTTCCCAGTTAAGTTGAGAGGTTCCTTACCAGCTGGTATTGAGTTCAAAATAATCGTGGAAAGAACCTGTAAGAATATTAAGGTTTGGTCAGTAAAAATTCTTCGCAACATGTTATTGTGAATTTCAGAAATACTGTCCAGCTGCATCATAAAGATTATATGTTTTCCTGACCACAATTCTACTGACCGACTGAGACATAAACAGTACCTATTTTCCTGACCACAATTCTACTGACCGACTGAGACATAAACACTACCTATTTTCCTGACTACAAGTTTACTGATTAACTGTCATTATTCAAGAAGGATATTAACTAAAGTAAACTTGTTATGTCTGAAATTTAGTCTTTTTTGGCTAAGACATGTTGTAAACACTGTGTCAGTGTCACTCTCTCTCTCTCTCTATATATATATATAGAAAAAATAAGATAAACGACCGACTAAAAACTAGCTGCTTTCACCCTTCACAGGGCTCTTCAGGTTTATTCAAATTCCTTTCTATCATTATATATATATATATAATAAAAAGTGATTAAATGTCCATGTGAAGGAAGTAAATATAGAAAAAATAAATTGAACGACAGACTAAAAAACTAGCTGCTTTCACCCTTCACAGGGCTCTTCAGGTTTATTCAAAAGAACAACGTCGTGACGTCACAATTACATGTCATCACACTACAATAGTAACGTGACATCACGAAGTACACAAGATTGGTGGAAAGTTACCACGACACTGTCCACCAATCTTGTGTACTTCGTGACATAGTTCATATTTATTGATTTTCCGAATTCGAAATGTCACTCCTGACTATTGTTTGACAGACCACAGAATTGATGGCTGTACTCCCACTTTCAATGAGCACTCATATTTATCTAGCTGGCACTATTTCTGTTACATCCTTTTTGTTTCCTGTTACATCCCTACCTGTTTTTCTGACCAGAGTTTGTAGGGTTTGATGATTGACCTACCTGTTTTCCTGACCAGAGTTTGTAGGGTTTGATGATTGAGGGGGGTAGCACCTTCACTGGGCCTTTCTTGTCCACTAAGGCCGAGAACACGAGCTGGCAGTACTCTTGTCTGTCAGAAAGCAATTACGGGGGTACATGAACATATTTGACAATAATTGATTACAGGATATGTAGAAGAATTTAACCCATCTGTCAGTCAGAAGTGAAGGAGTAACCATAATATACGTAGCAATGGACATAGATATTTATGAATCATTCCCAACTTAACTTTAAAATAAATCATATCGCTATAGTTTGTTCAAAGTATGGTATATACCAGGAAACTTTCCTCAAGTCAAATTATTGTCCTTCACTGGTATAATCCATTTTCACTCGGTGTTAATGTCGCCCTAAACATGGTTTCCTACGCATAGCATGTAGTGTACTAATTTTCAGTGTCGTGGTAACTTTGCCCTCATTGCGAAGGCGAAAAGTTATGCTGCGGCGAAAATATCCTGGTATACAGTATACATGTATAAGAGTTATTGTATAAACATCAATTACAATACTGGCTGGCTGGATTAAGTTCGGGACTGATGTATGAAAAAGTTTCTGGTATACAATGTAGCTGAGGGTTGTTCATGCAATTATAACTATCCCAGTATGTACCAGTGGATGGTTATATTAGTGTCTGGTATACAATGTAGCTGAGGGGGGTTCATGCAATTATAACTATCCCAGTATGTACCAGTGAATGGTTATATTAGTGTCTGGTATACAATGCAGCTGAGGGGTGTTCATGCAGTTATAACTATCCCAGTATGTGCCAGTGGATGGTTATATTAGTGTCTGGTATACAATGTAGCTGAGGGTGGTTCATGCAAATATAACTATCCCAGTATGTACCAGTGGATGGTTGTATTAGTGTCTGGTATACAATGTTGCTGAGGGTGGTTCATGCAGTTATAACTATCCCAGTATGTAAAGTTTACTGATGATGGCACGTTACCTGGTGAAGAAGCGTCCCCGGAGAGTGAGGTTGACCCCGGACACCATGTGGTCCTGTATAAGCCCAGCCAAGGGTGTGCCATCTTTAGGGACCAGGTACTGGAAATCTGTGCTGGCTGTAATAAACATTGATAGCTACTTATAGATATAATTTACAATACAGGACCAGGTACTGAAAATCTGTGCTGGCTGTAATAATCAGTGATAGCTACTTATAGATATAATTTACAATACAGGACCAGGTACTGAAAATCTGTGCTGGCTGTAATAATCATTGATAGCTACTTATAGATATAATTTACAATACAGGACCAGGTACTGAAAATCTGTGCTGGCTGTAATAATCATTGATAGCTACTTATAGATATAATTTACAATACAGGACCAGGTACTGAAAATCTGTGCTGGCTGTAATAATCATTGATAGCTACTTATAGATATAATTTACAATACAGGACCAGGTACTGAAAATCTGTGCTGGCTGTAATAATCATTGATAGCTACTTATAGATATAATTTACAATACAGGACCAGGTACTGAAAATCTGTGCTGGCTGTAATAATCATTGATAGCTACTTATAGATATAATTTACAATACAGATAACACATCATTTCTCTTGTCAGCATTAACACAGTTCTGTCTTTTTAGTTTCGTATCGCATCATTTTCACCTTCACAAAAGTCTGTAATGATGTCAAATATATCATACGCAATCAACATAAAAAAGTTATGGAAAATAATTAAGACTGATGGCAATCTGACTGACGATCAATAATTCAAACGACATAAAAAAAGTTGTAGAAAATGATAAAGACTGATATTTCTAAACATTTTCTTCAGGTTGGTAAACTATGGGTTATCAGAACTTTTTTTTTACACAACCAATAACATTTTCTATGTGACGTTTCGATGACTAGTACGATATGTACACTGTCACCTTCATCAGACAAATGACCAATGAAGCGTATGCACATAAAGGTGTAAAATGTGTACGAGTTGTCCATAAAATCGATGTCGATTTCGGCTACGCTGCAAACGTATGTACATATAGTTGTTATATATGTACCGAAATAACTCAATTCAGCTTCGCTTTGTTAACACTTGGTCAAAGATGTGCGAGAGTCTGATGACAACATAAAAATGTCGTAGAAATTGATAAAGACTGATGCCAACCTATAGTATAGGCCTCCGCTCTTGCCAGTTCATTCTGTGGAAAATGTGCATTCATTTCATCGCCATCAAAGTCAGCATTATAGGCCTTACAGTTGGCGTAGTGGAGTCGCAGGGTTTTCTCTCCAGGTAAGACTCGCGCCTTCAAAGAAAACAAAACAAAAATCCTGGTAGATGAAAACAAATATCAGGTGAGAAGCTGACAACCTCTATAAACTGAAGCTATATTTAATAGTTTTATAATGTCCAGACATTTTAGTTTACATCTAAATGAACAAATTATATCACATACAATGTGTGTTTATTTAGTTGGTAGTTCTGAGGACAGGGATGTTCCCTGCTGAGGGATAGGGGGTTACCAAGTGTATCTAGCAAACATATAGGATGATCTGATTGTCTTTTCTTTTCCAATTTTGAAATACACCTACACAAAATTTCGTAAAATAATAATCATTCCCTATTTTGGTAGATTTAATTTTCTCCCATCATTTTTAATTTTGGAAATCAATAGAATATCCTTTATAGATTTTCTTATTTTGCTACATTTCAATCACTCATCTCCCATCATTTTTAATTTCTGAAATCAATAGAATATCCTTTATGGATTTTCTTATTTTGCTACATTTCAATCACTCATTGCTAATCAAAACCTTGGTAGTGCCAAACATGGCTTAGACATGTGGGTGATTATATAGGTGAAAGGAGTGGCCTGGACATTGTGATCATACAGCAAAGTTAAAATTTGAAAAAAAATGATAATCAGTAAATAAGAATAGGATCCTTCTGTACAGTGAAGCTTCAGTGATTCGAGGGGTGTTACCTTGTGAGCCTGAATACTGGGTCGGTGAAGCGTGGGTTGTCGGTTCAGCAGCATAACATCCCCGTTCTTTAAGTGACGATACACCTGTGTATTTTGATGCAATATCTGTACTGGTATTGTCAAACATTAGCATAACAATACATTTACTTTCAATAAATTACAATACTTACAGGTTTGAAAAAAACATACAAATTGAGTTTTATCACTTCGGCCTACAAAAGGACATCTTCTGTATAACCCTTCACTTTAATCTATAAAATCTCATCTCTGATATTTTAATGATTTCCCATTGCTGAGTTCTGACCTATAAAAAGACATTTCTCAGGTAACAACCATTTGTTAGTTTGTCCTATAATGAGATCTTTGGCTACAACTTTTAAGGAGACATCTTAGATATATAACCATTTCTAAACACATGAACAACAATATAAATAATTTAAAACATTAAATCATTTGCAGGTAAATTATGACTTGATTTTTTTTGAGCATTTTCAGCTTTGTAATTATTTGTTGCTTGTAACACATGTACTGTAATGACAGACATCACATTAATGTTTAATGGTGACCTTGACCTTGGTGTGTACCAAAAAGACCCAATTGTGTTTCAGATTGTGCCTCAAGTACAACAAGAGGCCCAA